CCCCGCCCAGGCGGGGAGACGTGCGGCTTTATTATGATGATAATTTTAATGGTACCGATTGGAGTTACAGCGCGCTTAATATGGCTACTTTAAGTTTTGATATGTGTAAGGGATCAGAGTACGTGATTTGAAGAATATCAGCTTTCGGGTTGCCATGTCTTCCGTGGTAGCATGGGATCACTATAAGGTATCAATTTGTACAACCAGTGTTTAATATTTCAGCAGCTTGGATGTGATGTTAAACGAGTACCTCATCTGTAATCAACTCCTTAAACATCAAAGACAATCACAACACTAATCAAAGAACTCTTGCGAACATTTATCTCTTCCCAATTTTGTACACACGAATGTTCGCGAAACCCTGACCCTTTGGTTCACGTTAATGGGTATATAGAATGTCTTGACTCCATCTTAATTTGTTTCAATGTAAACTTCATAACCCCAATAAATGCAAGTGAGTTTCGGAAGTCTGTGCGAATAAAAAAGTTGAAATGTCTCCTTTTCATGAATGTATTGAATGCGTAGCTTACATGAATTTTTAAATTCTAGTTTTATAATTTATAAAAATGATGTTTTGTGGACGCGAGTAAATATCTTTCGAAATCGATTTGTTTAAGAAATGATTGTCAGGTTACCTTGAAATTGTAAAGTCAGGGCTCATCGATATTAAAACACAATAGAAGTTCATTCTATTTGTACACGCCATACGAATGATTATTCGTTCGGATACCATTAGTCGAGTGATATTTAGAGGTACGCAAATGGAAATCTGAGGGTAAATTGGTGGCGTGCCACAAGGTATCAGAAAAAAATCAATATTCACTTTGCCCACCATCCTAACAATTTATTCATCATTTATCTTGTATCGCCAATTGGGCCTAATAGGTCAATTGCGCCAATATGTGGTGATTGATCAATAAATTGATGGTGCGTCAGGAGCTGCGAATGTTCCCAGCGTCGGGTGTGCGGTTTTGAGTCTAAATATAGAACAGTGGTAGTGGAGGATTCTCGTAAGTACGAAAGCAGAAAAGTACGAAGCATTTGTATATTCCATTGGAATTTTATATATATATATATAATATATAATATATATATATATATATATGAGAGAGAGAGAGAGAGAGAGAGAGAGAGAGAGAGAGAGAGAGAGAGAGAGAGAGAGCGCGTGAGCGTCAATACAAGTTTAGAAATATTGGTGACAAGTGTTAATCTATTTTCTCTAGAACCACACTACTCTGTAAGAAAATAGATCTGAATTTCGCGATGATCATTTGCAGGGTTTGCTATCAAAATTTAAATTTTTTTAAAACTATTCTGGTCATACTCCCGTTAGTTCTCACAGCGATTAGAGTTCAAATACAGCTTTTTTATTAGCCAACTGCGCATCCCATTAAGGACAAGGGCCTTCTGCTTGAACAGGAAAGAGGTAGGATGATGAAGATTGGTGAAATGACGGTCACAAGTACATCCAAGCCAGAGGCGGGTTTCGACCCCGCGATCCTTCGATCCGAGATCGCCACAACAATACTGCCTTAGCGATCTCGGCTACTCGGATTGGCCAAATACAGCTTAATGCGACCTAAAATGAGGCAAAAACTTATCTCCATTATATATTACCGCGCATTTTTGTTTCTCTTGTAAAAGTTCGAGAATGAAACGAGCTGGTTTTGAGAAGAAACGCCGGATTGAGAATATTACATTGAACGTTAAAATTTAAAATACGCCGCATTGATCGTTAAAATTTAAAATAGATCACTTGAAATCAGACGAAATAACACTAGATGAGCTCAATGATCCGATGAATCCAAACGCTTGTATTTATGTCACACCTCTCACCGGTCGCGCGCCGCACCTCCGCATCCATCCGCACCGCTCCAGCTCCATTTATATTCCTCGATCTTCAGATAGCGACCACAAAACCCGGAGACGTCGGCCGCTTCATCACAACGCGTCGATCCGCAACAAATCCGGGGTTGCGGGGAGGGGGGGGGTGTTCTGCGGGCAGCCGCCGCCCGACCGCATTCACCCACAAGGGGGACTGGGGGATCGAGGGGGGCCGCGGACCCTGGGGGCGATTCCACGGCCGCCGCGGGGTCGCAATCTCCGCCCGCACACACAAAGGGTTGCGCCCGCTATCGGCCGGCCGCAGGGTGGAGGCCACCGCCGCCGCCGCAACCACCCTCCTTCGCCCCTTCGCCACGCCCCCCTCCACACCCTTCGGCGGCGGCGGGTCAAGTTACGTTCCTGCGCAGAGAGCCGCGCGGCGGAAGGGCTGACGGCCGGCCGGGGCGGTCCCCCTCCCTGCCCGCCGCGCGGGATGACGTGGCGCTATCAGCAGCTAGTGCCCAGGAAATCGAATTAAATGAGTCAAAGCGCCAACACCGCGAGTCGCGTGTGCCACGGCGCCGGTTTGATCTGTCGGCGGCGCGCTTAATTTATTCGGGCAAATGAAATGGTGAATGTCTACACTTCGCGTCGGGCTGTAATTGCCTCGCAAGCGACCCCCCGACGTATAAAAAAATGAAAAGAAAAGCAATAAATTTGATTTTCTGCTTGCGAATGCGTGCGAAACATAATAAAAATAATGGGAAATCATAATATGATATAAAAACAGCATTATATTAACAGAAAACGTATTCGTGTTTATATATTGTGTGGTTGCATGAATTTAAAACAGTTGATTTTCGCTGCATACTCCATATAAAAAGTGTAAATTTCATGTTAAAAAAAAGTTCTTAATGAAGCCATTGTGGAAAATATTTATTGTAAATCTTACATACAATCATTATATTATGTAACTTTTTGTGGTGAACAGTAATTATGAAAATAAGTCTAATCGATATTTATTCATCGTCATTACTGTAATGGAGAAGAGTGAACTGAATTTACACTTCAAAAATTGGCGCCTGTGGACCACCTTCCATTTCCATTCGTCACAAATTCGTGCTCGCCTCGGTTTACGCCGGAGGTGGCGCCAGGTGGGCCAACAGTCCTGTGGAACCAACCGCCGTCGCGGCCCCGTGCAGTCGCAGCGCCGTCCGCGCTGCATGAAATGCTGCCGTTGCTGCCGGCGACGGGAGCGCGCAGCCGCGCAGTGGCCCCGCGAGTGAAAACGCGCGACCGTTCCCGGGAAGAGGCGCAGGTAAGTGCGGGCCAAGCGGATTTTCAGCCGGAGCTGGGCTTTTCTGTGTTATGGGGAGCGTAATTTGTGATCCGCAGAAAATAAAAAAAGGGGTATCGTTCAGCGTATGAAATGTCGCACTTTGATATTTGAGCGCATGGCCTGCAGACTGCATCCACTAGACCCGTTTTCGAATGTCTCGTTAGTAGCAGTAGAAAATAGTTGGTTCTGTAAGTAAAATGCATACGTAGTGTATGGTCGTTAAGCAAGTACGATCTAGAAGTTACCTATAACTACAATAAGGGCAGTTCTAATTAATTAATGCAATTCTCACATATCGATTCAAAATAATACTTAAGTGTTCCTTTCGTATGCTACATGAAATGAACCAGAGATTATTTATATATTACAGCATTGTCATTTGAGAATTGGGTTTGTAAGGCGTGTTACGTTTCAACCAATACAATAATTGTATTGCTTAATGAGAAAGCGAATGTAAATGATATAGTTATATACATTGGTCCTGTGTGTTATGACACAAGTGTTACTGGTTACAGCGAACATGGGGGAGGGGGTCATTCGCGGGTCACGTGGTTTATTTACGATTCCTTCCCACCCGCCCCGCCCCCTCCCCCTTCGCTGTTTGTGTTGGTCACCGTCGCGTTGCGCAACAGCGCATCCGCTCGTCCTCCGCCCCTCCCCGCCGCCCGCCTCGCCGATTGAGGGCGGCCGCAAACTTTGACCTCTCTGACGTCACAGCAGCGCCTGTTAATATGCTAATATATGTTGGTATTGATACAATGGCTTCGATATCATCGCGGCGAGTTAGCCTTCGCCGGCGATCTTGACTCGCAATCGACGTTGCCGGGCGCCTCGCGAGGATCAAGTAGAACGGGCGGGGCGGGACGTCCTGCTGTGGCCCCCGCTGACACTCGGCGAAGGGCGAACCTAATGACTTCTGGAACACGGGGGTTAAAACTGCAAGGGACCTGTTCTAACCACACCGATTTAGATAAAAAAAATAATTAAATTATTGTAATAATGACCACGATCATCCCACTTCAATGTTTTTCGAAAATGTGCATTTATTTTCAGTGATTTCCCAGGTTTCTCTTAATTTTACGATTGTCCGGCTGAATAAAACATTAAAATAAGAGCGACAGAAAATGAAAAATGATGGATAATTGGTAATTTCAAACTCGCATTGTACAAAAGGCCATCTTCATTTCTGTAATGTTAGAGGTGTCTATTATGTTCATCGTTATATCGTCCGATTTAATAATATACATCAAGTTAACCATTTTTTTAAAAAATTTTTGGGTGGTCCTGTGAGTGCATGGTTCTGCTGTTCTATATTCCAGTGGCTACCATCGCTCGCCGCAGTAGTAACTCAAGCCAGTGTGTGCAGATAAGGTGTGTAAGGAACCCACATATGCTAATTCTCCTATTAGAGATGTAATGAATTGCACCAGCATTTTCTTTCCTTGTTGTTCGATGTATCGGTAATAACTGTCTTAACTTTCTCTAATTGCGTCCTTGAACGTCTTCAATCTAATAACATATTGGAAGACAGTGAAATACGTGGGACAAATGTCCTACGGAAACGAGATGCCTTTACGATAATTTTAGTATTATGATCTTAGTTAATGGATCAGCATTGCACACGGGCTCCTGGAAAACACGTTTCTAATTATGCACTTTAACTGTTATTTGCAGGAGTGCTAGGTGAGTAATGCGTGAAATAACGACGCTCAGTGCCGTCAATAAAAGGAACGGTGGTGAAAGGGATGCTTTTATTTCCAGATTAACCACACGGATACTTCTAATTATTGGTAAATTAACTTTACATCTGGGGACGCCGGATTTGTTTAACGTTTTCTATGCTTTTCAGTAATTGGCATTCTTTTCTAGTATGGTAGTTAAAGTGTGCTAATAATACAAATTTGATTTAAATGTGTATATGTTCTTTAGCCCTCGAAATCAACATTATTGGTAGGCTGTCACATAGAAACTTTGTTAATCATGTATTCACCAGATTAGTTTTTTGTGTTACCAACCTTTAACCTTTTGGAGTTTAAGTTCGGTTTGTAGAATGAAAAAGAACATGACTAGAACAATGAAACACTTGAAAGGCGAAAAGAAATGGACAATTGGCGATGATTGTCGTCAGTTGTTTCACAATATTATAAGGAGCGTGTTGTATAATGACAGGACGTCCTGGCTTTGTGTGTCGAGAAATGATGACCTTTGTTGACTTGGCGAAGCGACGGTAATGCGACAGGTTGCGTAGTATTGAGGTAGGCCACACCCGAAGGAGAACAGCTACTCGATTCAGACGGGGAGTCTTACTGATGAACATTCACGCTGCATGTAACGCCGGCAATATTTAGGTTATAATGTTCATTGTCCTTTATATAGGTCTACGTTCATGCAAGAATAGAAAAGATTTAAAGGGTAAAACTTTTTTCTGCGATTCTTTTGATAATAGTAATTTGATCAATATTAAAAACTTGTATACTTCACACTTCGAATTTTGAACATAGCTAAGTAGTCTCTTTTTTTTTGTGATTTCTTAATTATGAACAGGAATAGGAACAGTTGACACGCGTCAGGGACTTGTAAGAAATTTTTAATGAGAAGTTCGTTCCGACCCTGTAATTTAAAACTCGTATAATGAATCAGTTTTTGCTTGCATGCGTCGGCATGCAGATTTTAAACACAGCTTTTCGGTGCTCTGGACAAGGTTAGTCTGATTATACTTACAATTTGCGTTGGTATTACATTATAAAATTGACATGAAGGTGATGAAATTATAAAGTAATCAAATGAAACATAAGATAGTCATTATGTGGGAAAGAAAAAAATGAAATAAAGTGAAAAAAAAAACAACATATTTTTAAATCCAGAATGTCGGAATCGTAGATAAGAATGCCCTCGACGAGACGAGCACTGTTTTTGTCCCTATGAAAATACGTTAAGTATTCTTGTAATGAATTACATGTCCGAACATCCACATTTGAAACGATGCCATCAACATTCCTTTCGGGCATCGTAACCACGTCTTATTTGAAGAATTACGCATAACAAGTGAAAGAGATGTGCTAAAACAGCACGCTGGTAACATCTTGGTGATGAAAGAAAAAAACGAAACATTTCAGAAGCCGTGAATGCGATATTGCGCAATTCAGCATGCCCGAGGTCGCAGCTGTGGGGCCGCGAAGGAAACAAGGGGCGATCAAACTTCGCGGAACGCCACTTCGGACGCCCGTATTGCCCTTGGAGGACGGGTGGGAACGAGTGGATGGAAAATAGTACAATTACAATAGTTCAAAATTAATACAATATTGTAATAATCATTTTAGAACGAGCAGTTTTAAATTTTTAAACACAATTTTGGGAGAAATCGTTTAAACCTACGGCGCGGATACAAAGGAATTGAACAAAAGAGAGGAAAGCACATAGATGATCCTTGAAATGAATTACTGGGGAATGAACTGCCGTGCGTCTAGGTTGGAATACACAAGAAGTCAAGCGATAAGACACATGATGAACGTAGAGGTCAGCATTCAGGATACAATTGGAACTAAACGACTAAATTGGTATGGAGATCTGCAACGCGTAGGCAACAATAGGTGGACAAAAGGCGTCTTGGAACACACCTCCAGCTAGGAAAAAGCGTGAAAAAACACAAAGATGTTGGACAAAGTACATTGAACAAGTGCAGGGAACAGGCTCCAAAGATGGAGACTTGGGACCGGAAGAGTCGGAAGCTGAGAAGTTTTAAGTCAAGTACACTTTAGTTACTGCAGTTATCTCACTCCACTCCATGGGTGCCAAGTTGGGCGGAATCCGACCTTCATAGTACATTATTTTTACTGTAAAATGAAACGTGCATGAGATAAACAATAATTATATAATAATAATAATAATAATAATAATAATAAAAAATTTCGCACTGATCGAAAATTCCATGCTATTTGCTTCCCGCGCTGCCTGCGACTGATACCATCGCCGCGCCAGTCCTTCTAGGCTTCAATTCACCTCGGCGCGATGGCTGAGGCCGGGCGCGGAGCAGACTGTACCCGGAGAGGCGCGCGTCACGGCGGTTCGGGTCGCGACACGGCGCGTCGCGGCGCCCCCTACGGTCGCGGACGGTCTTGACGGCGGCGGCGCCACGCCGGCTCGCCCCGGCCCGGCCCCTTCGCTGTTCGGCGCCCGGCACCGCCCCCGCGCCCGGCGAGCGGCCAAGCCGGCTCCCCCGCCCCCTCCGCCCCATACAGCCCTGCCGGTCCCTGGCGCACGCAGGAATGCCCTGGCGTGTCACGCCAAGTCGGGTTCGAATACGCTGGAGATGTTTGAAGTAATCAGTTACACCAGTTTGGAGTAATGAGTTTGCACCACACGTTTGTGCATATAAGTAAAGAAAATGCATAATTAAAAATGTAGCTACTTCAGATGAATGAACTCACACTTTGAACAAGTTAATTAAATTTTGAGAAGCGTAATTTAATGTTGGTTACAAAATTATCAGTAGTAATAATATGCATAAGACAACATGCTCATTAGAAGAGCGAAATTCGTAAGTGTATCAACATTATATTTCGATTTTTCAATATATTTAATGGTAATCTAAATATAAAATACTTAAGGAGAATGCGAAAACACTTGATAAGTAAATTCGTCTAATTTTCCTTTAATGCCCAAATCAGCTGATCAGAATGTTTTAACAGTTTCGTTGATTCAAGTTTCAGACTTGTAGTCTTCATCAAACCTAAAACCATCACCAAAAAATAACCAAGTACAACTCCCTTGCGTCGCCTACTAACGAGGAACAGAGCTCAACTCCCTCGCCGCAAGAGGTCTAGACTGCTCCGCCCAACCGCATCGCCGCCCGCCCACCTCTCCCGCGCAGCCGGAGGCGAGCGGCCGTCCGATTTCGTCCCGCCCCGCCCCCGCTCGGTCGCGCGGCCCTCGCTGCCCCCTGTCCCGCCCGCGGGCGCAGCCGCCACTGTCCGCCGAGG